TTTTTAAGTAAGAGTGAGCAAATAATAAGAAAGAATTATTTATGATATTTTATTTTAAAGCCTAAAACATTTTAAAAGATATAACTGACCTCATACATATAATATTCAATTTAATAAAATAGTAATAGATAATTCATAGTGTAACTTTAATCTTAAATATCTTTAGAAGATATATTACAATTTTTTGAAGGGGAAAAAAATGAGAAGAAAAGTTAAAAATATGTTAGGTCTGACTGAATCTGACTGAATCCTATAAAAAATTCCATGATCACTAAAATAACAACAAATCATATATACATGTTGGTTATTTTGGTATTAAATGTTATTAGAAGTTGTATTATGTCATTTTCACTAAAAAGATGGAAAAAATGAGTCAAAAACAATAATTTCAAAAATTGCATGAATCGTAAAAAGTGAATCGAATCGTGAATCGATTGTGAATCGTGTGATTCACTAGAGATTCACTTCCAAAATGGATTCACTCATAGATTCGTATCGATTTTGCAAAAATTGCGTATCGAATCGTGAATCGAATCGCGAATCGTAAGATTCTGATAACAGAGTATATAATAAAGAAAGTGGGGAACAAGAGTGTAATGAAAAGAAAAAGTATAGGTTGCATCGTGGGTCACATGGGTGAGTAAAAGAAAAAAATAAAGAAATGAGTGGGTGCCCCCCATGTGCAAGGATAATGCTGGCACTTCAATAGGTGGTACAACCTTCTGAGCATCAGCTTTGACAGGAGCTGCCTTTGGACCTTTTATTTTCTGCAGACGAACAAAATAACCAGGAGGAGATGCATGTGCCTGGTCGGTTTGGGTTTGGAAGATCGAATTATTCTTAACATTTTTGCCGAATTAAGACAAGTTCACCACTTGTTTTCATATGGTTTATATTCTCAACATTTTTGCCGAATTAAGACAAGTTCTGCTTTGTTCTTGTTTTCATTTCTACTATGCAAAGCATATTCATCCACACATTTATAAGCAAAATGTACATTTTCATTAATAAACTGCACTCATGCATTCGACACTTTATACATGGAAATGGCTTTAGTACAAAAAACTAAACCGTTTAATAAAGGTAAGAAAAGAAACAGTAACAAAAAACCAAAGGAAAATATATCTATTTCTAAAGTGGCCGATCAAAAGTCCAAATCCTTTGAATCCGATGTCAGCGGTTTGACTTCTAACTGCTTGTAGGGAATCGACTGATCTAGAGTCACTTTGGCGGCCGCCAAAGCTTTGAGCCATCTATGCTTGAAACCTCGATTCTCGAACTTTAAGGCTTCATCAGCATACAATTCCTTAGCCTTCAGCTCTTGAGCGTCAAAAGCTTTGGCGGCCTTTGCTTCAACAAGCTCCCTCGCCTTCTTCTCCGCTTCGAGATCGGTCTTCAGTTTTAAGACTGTTAGAATTTCCCATCTTTACCTTCACCTACTCCACTACACACTCCACTTCACCTACCTCCACTTCACCACACACTCCACTTCACCTACCTCCACTTCACCACACACTCCACTTCACCTAACCCACTATCACCTCCACTACACCTACTATCACATTTTCTTCTATATATAGATTGTATAGGAATTGTAATTAATAAATCTTGTAATATATCAATATATCAATCAATAATACAATTCTCTATTTCTCTTTATACATTAAATTTCTACAAAGACCTCTTCTTGCGCTAACTTGAAGGAGCCGTCTATCAAGTTCACTCTTTCTTCAGTAGCCCTATGTAGCAGGTCGGTGTGTTGCGTCTTTTCCTGTGCAACAACGGCCCTCGCCTGCTCTTCTTTCGCCCTCGCGACTTCAGATTCGGCTTTAACCGTCGCCATATCCAAATCGCGATTACAGCTTTGGCTTTGCCTTTTTCAGCTTCTAGTTGGCCTTTAAGGATGTCGAGTCATTCCACGGCGTCATAGTGACAACGGCCGATCTTGGCAATCCTACCCGCCGCCTGGCAAAGCAATAAAGCTAAGATTTATTAGTTGGAGTCAAAAATGAAATCTTAAACGGAGGCAAAAAGGATCGCAACTTACCAATTTGGCCGACTACGCCGCCAAGGTAATTGAGACGACATCCGGTTTGGCACGAAAAGTGGCCCTATTTGCTGGCAGAGAGAGCTGAAGCCACACTAGGGCCACGGCAGGATCTTTGATGGCCGACCCACTAGTGAGAACCTACGCATTCTTTATTCGTGGTTGGACGACAAATGGCTCGGATAAGTCATCTGTGGTGGACAACATCTCTATCCTTGGCCGTTTGTGTCAATCGGGGCCTCCGATAGATCGGATACGACCTTGACAGGTCGCTTCTGCCCTATCAGATCGGCTCCCATGACTTCTTGGCTTTTTGCAGAAACAAATTCGGCCACTATCGTTTCGCGGGCCGTTTCTTCTGGGGGAACCTCGCGTGTGGTTGTTACTTGGCTCCCCCTAGAATCGCCACCTTGTCTCCTGGCCGCCATCCTCTCGGCATGTTTCTGTCTCCTGGCAAATTGGGCAAGAGATTCTCCGCCCATTTCTTCGGCTTCGGATTTAGCCCTAGGAAGATTCTCTAAGCCAGTGAAAATATCGTCTTCTGGTGCTGATAAAGCTACTTGGCCAAAGATGGATGGGTGGTCGATTTGATGGTCAGGGTTGATATGCTCAAAGGCCAAGTCAATTTCCCTGCTAAGTTCTTGGTCCTTTGCATGGCCCTTTGATTGTGCGTCTTCGCCGATTTATTCGCCGGTGTCGGAATTGTCAACACCAATCTCCCTTAGGCTTTTGTAATTAGGGAATGTTAGTGCAGTAAGTTGCCGTTCACCACTCGGCACATGGATATGGTCTGCGGCCGAGAAGGTAGAGCAGGTCGGATCATACCTCAACAAAACATGGGCTGCGCGTCCTTGTCCTTGAAGGTTTGGGCGGCCTTTATAATTAAGGACCGCCTTTACTTGTTCAAGAACAGCTTCGTCTGCTAATGTCAATACTCTTTTTAGGTCATTGCCTGCATGACAGAAATAATGATCAGTACTCAATATTTTCGCCGAGTAGATGGTTTATTTAAAACATGGTAGTTGGCCACCTGGCTTCCCTTTTTGCCTCGGCACTAGGTCTTGGCGATCTTCTCCTTCGCCGAATTCCTAATTACCTCGGACGGCGACCATAACATTGTCAACTCTTTTGCCAGAGCTGGCAAAGCATGGTCACCAAGTGATGATCTATGTCTTTGGCTCTCAGAAAGTAACAGCCCTGCCGACCGGTTGACTTCGCCATGACGTAACAGTGCCGAATGGCTGGGATTCCTAGGTTAAGACCCAGTCTCCTATTCAGTTCTACTACACCCATGATTATTCGGTAGAAATTTACGTTAGGTTGGGAGGGAATCAGACCCCAATAACGCAGGACCATCCTAAAAAGGGGATGGAGAGGGAATTGGACTCCACCCTCAGCAATGGACAAGAGGGGGAAAACAATGGTGTTTGTGTCAACTCTGTCCATGTCCAATACACTGTCTACAACAAGGGATATATGGACGTTGTCTGGAATTGAAAAATGAGGACGGAAGGCTGTGACTTGCTCCTTTGAGAGGAAGGCTTTCAAATGCCTCGCCATTTCAATCGGAATATGAACAAAATGCGAAGGGGATTGGAATGAGAACAAAATGAAAAGAGAAAGGGGAACTTACAGGTTGAAGGAGAAGATAACAGTAGGGAGCGGAATTACAGAGGTCGTGATGAAGGTTAGTGTGAAGGATGCCAGAAGTTGAAAACCTTTCGAGCTAAGAATACACAGAGAGATAGTTTTCAAATCTAACATTAAATGATTGTCAAATACGAAGGGGCGGGAAGCTGTAATGATTGCAACATCGCGCCTGTTCTGACGAATCAGTACTAAAAGGAGTGCAACCGCCGTATTTCTGACTTTCAAGGTTTTATCCGATTCATTAGCCGAGAGGAATGCATCAACCAAACATGCCGACCGGAATGGCCTTACTCGGATGTTTGGGAGGCAATTGTGGAGGCCAAGTTTGAGATGCCGTATACAAATAGGAGCCACGTGTAAGTCGGCTCGTAATGGCTTTACCCTTGGGATGAGATTGCTGAGAAGACGAGTGAAGTGGGCCGGCCGTGGCCAAATAGAACTAGATTGCGGGCTAAATAGGCTATAAATTCTACCGAATGACTGGGGGTCCAGTTGTCAGGGCGGGGTGTCCATAATAAGAAAGTGGGCCCCAAAAGAGTAATATAAAAAAGGAGCATCAGCCAGAAGGGAGGTATGTGAGAAAAAGATAACTTGAGATATAAGAAAAACTTGAGTGAATACTAACTTGCCCATCGGAGTGCTAATTCCGGCACCCCCTGACCGGATTGTTCATTTCCATTTTAGGTACAAACTCGAGGATCAAGAGAGTCTGCTTGGGCCAAAGGGTATTTCCAAACCACAACTCCACAAAGATAATACAATTCGATTTGGGAATGAGTTGCCAAGCCCTCAAATCAACATGCTACAAATTCACCATATTCTTCATGCATATTAGAGAAGACCTAACTGTTTGATTTGGGAACATGCTGTGAATCCCTCAAGTCAATATTCTTGACAAAAAGAATTAGAGGATGATTCTTTTGTGAAGGAGTACTATATAGATTTTTCCTTTTTTTTTTTTTTTCTAAATTTATAAATTGATGTTTGTCACTCAATTTCTTTTTTGTCTTTATTTTGCAGACAAAATTTGTGTACAAATCTCAAATATGTGCCTTTGTTGCATCACTAATTTAATTGACCTATTAAGATTACTTGGGCATAGCTTAGAGAATTTTTATCAATAAAAGGAGGGGAAAAAAGGGAGCAAAGGCAAAAAAAGTCGGCGCCCCTCTAAATTTATGGTATATCGTAGTGCTCCAGTTTTAGCATAATTTAGTCGCTTGTTTAAGTGGCTTCAGCATCATCAAGAAGCTTTATCAATTGGGCTAATGTTTCTTACTAGATTTTTGTTTTCCAAGTGCAGATAATTGAACATGTGGGAAGCAGGACACAGCCAGCTAGATATGCTGGTGATCATCATTCTATCCAAGCAGGGCCTGCCTACATGCATTCAAATTCCCAAAATGTAAGTAGTGGATGGATTTGACTTTGCTCTGCCCTGTTTGAGCTGTTTTCTTCCTAGTGGTTATTTTTGTGTTGTGCAAAAGACCAAGAGATGTCTCGAGTCTTGACTCTTACATTGTCAAATTGTTCATTGATATTCCCAGGTTATGGTTGGACGATTGGGGCAGCTTATTTACATGCATCCTGTTTCTCATGTAAGATATTGTCGGTCTTTGCAACTTGAAAATATTGCATGACAGATTGTTTTGTGTGTTTGAAATGTTCATTAATTGGATTAGTACAAAATAAAGGTAGCTGGGACTGCAATATCATGATTGCCTAATTGCCATCTATGTTTGCTTGAAGGGTGTGAATCAGGGTGTGGCGGCTTTCTCTCAAGTATCTACACATCCTCTGCTGAATACACATCAGGGCCATCTTCCTAAGCACCAAGGTCTGAACATGACAAAACACGGTGAATTATTTGAACATATTACGCATAGTTGTATATTTTAAGTGTGCAGAAATCTAGTGTGACTTATGTTAGACTGATAAGAATTCTTGGTAACATGAAGATACTGCAATTTAGTAACCAGTAACAATCTAGTGTGCCAATGCACACTTGGGAGAGGCAATTCTATGGATCATATATTCATATGAAGGCCTTGTAGTTGCTTGAAATAAAAGTTTTATAACCAAAGATAATTAGTTCTCTGGGAACCAAGAAATAAAATCAATAAAAAATGGTAATTGTTATCCCCACTTCACTTGTTTATAGTTCCACTCCAAAATTTGTCTTTAGTGTCCAAAATTATATGTGACACAATTCTCAAGTGGAGAGCTTGTTGAAGGACACTGGTTCAATGAACCTGTGATTGTGAAGAGCTTGTTTATAGTTTTGAAGAGCTTGTTGAAGCAAATTGGTTCAATGGACCTGTGAAGTCAATAATGCTCCTTTACAATGGTTGATTTTTTTTTTCAAATTTAGCCGCTAGCACATCTTATGGAAGCAATTTGACATTAATTTGCAGGAAGTGCAGCAGCTCAAGCATTGCAGCTGTGTTTGACTCCGCCTTTTATAGCTTCTGGGCAGCAGCAGCCATTTGCAGTACAAAGCAACATACCCCTCCCCGTTCCGCAGCCTCCCTTTCCTGTTATTCAGCCTATACCAGTCCCGGGTTCTACTGGTATCTTCAACACTAAGTGTCCGTAAATATGTTTTCTTTTTTGTCATCGCCTCACCAGGAAAATATTCTTTATTCCCTCCAAAATTTTGACTCTGGTTAGCTCAATTGGGAATCATCAATGAGGGGTATAGTTTTCTATGCAATGATGGGGGTGTATTAGTCTCGGTAAAGCCTGGTCTAAGAGCAAGTTTTATTGGGTTAATTGAAAATTGTTGGGAAATTCTTTCTTTTGACAATATTGATATGAAGGGAAATGACTAAAATTTTCTAGTTTAAAGAGCCCTTTTTTCTTTTTTCATTTTTCATTTTTCATTTTTTACTTTTTATATATATAAATTGTAAGGTGACATTATTTGATATTGTTATTTGCAATTTATGCATTTTTTTTTTTAATCATGCCCCTTGTGGATGGAATGACTGAAATTTCTATGTACAAACTGAGAATCATTAATAACTTAGTGTTGAGAATTTGAAAAATATCATATATTATACTAGAAAATTTAAAATAATTTAAAATTATAAGGATTTGTACTCCCAAACATACTTTCACACCTTCATAGTGATAATCCTGAATCTGTTCCTGGTTCCATTAAGCTATGTTTGGATTCGCATTCGCTTTTCCTTTCCTATATCGCTATTCAAATTTTGATCCAAACAAAACCTTAGTTCTCTGTTGAAATTTTTGTCAAGGAGAGAGTTCGGATTGATCATCAAGTTTAAATAATGATCAACCCAGTTTTCCTTGTTGGTAACAATGAAGTTATGGTGGCCATATCTGTTAGATATATTAGGCTGTGTTTGGTTCATGGAGGGAAAGAAAAGGAATCACAAATTCAACATCCAATCCAAACAGAGCTTTACTGATGATTGCTGTTGTCCATAAGTGTATATTGGAGATGACACACGACTTGTGAACCACGACAGTAAGCATGATGAGAAGTGTTCAGTTTCAAGCTTTGAATCCATACTGGTTAAATTTGTGTCATGTTTTCCACAGGCCTCACATCCCAGTCCTCTCTCTCTCTCATCGGAAAGACACCTCAAAAGAGTGTTTCCTAACAAAATTACAATAACTTGGTTCATTTCATTGTAGTGGTTCCTAATTAAGATTTTTTTTTATTATAATATATTCTTTTTTTACCTATATCACAATGATTTGTAACTGACACCATAAAAATTCGTAACTAAGCTTACTATGATGGAGTTTCTCTACCATAGCGCTGCATTCATTCAAACGGAATGTGAATCCCATCAAATATAAATGCAGTTTCTGACAAAACAAAAAAAAAAATTGTTCCTTTACTTGCTAGGCAAGCTCAATTATGATCTGGGTCATCAATGGATCATAATTACTTGCTAGGTAAGTGCTAATTTTCAAAGTAAATTTTTTTAATAGTTGAGACAAAGCACCAATTATGATCCGGGTCATCAATGGATGAACTGGACTTATCCAGCCCATAATTATTATTTTTAAATCCTATGTTTTAACAGATTTTTCAAGCTTTAAGGAGTTAGTGCAGATCGGGTCTATTTAAAAAATTAAATTCACGTTTCACTCGTAAATCTAAATCTTATGAATCAAGAGTGAAATCTAAATCTTATGAATCAAAATCAAACCGAATCAAGCTACACATTTTTCATTAACATATTTTTAATATTTTCATTAGTTATTTTTCTCATTTACTTTCCAACATAATTCAAGTATTTTGATTTCCTTCCCCCCCCTCCCTTACATCTCATATAATAAAAAAAACAATCAAGTAACATATAATACCTACAAATGGAGGGAAAAAAACATAAAAACTTTAAATAAAAAAAATCAAACTAAACATTAGACTTACCTATGCCGGCTTTTATGAGCCGGACTTATAAGCAGTCTCAGATTACAAACTTTTATCTAAAACCCCGAATAATCTTTTATGAGTTGAGACGGATTGGATACTCAAGTAGGTTTTGATACGAGCCATGGCACGGATTGGCCAACTTGAATAATATTGGATTTTTTTTTCCACAGACCATTTTAGGACCCCTAGATCCAACAATGAAATGAAACCCATCAATTTATCACTACTCCACGTAAGGTTCTTCCCAACTTGTGTTGGATTTTCATGTACAAGCATCTCACCTATTCAAAGAGAACAATCACATTATCAACAAAACTCCATAGCTACAAGTAAATCTAAATGCACATTTCCATATATAACGGAACATAGATTGTGAGGGCAAAAAGTGGGTCCCGCAGACGGTGGACCCCACCCTTTGATTCACATTTGTATACCAAAACGACAGAACGTTTTGTGTACATGGCAGAACTGAAAAAGATCTATATATGAAGTAACCAACAAAATCTATATCTGAAGAACTGAAAAGATCACTAGAACATTCCAACACGGGAACCACAATAGGAAATGATCTAATCACTGTTTCATGAAAGCACTTTTGGTAATGACAATTTTTACTGTAAATGCAATGGCACATATTTAGCAACATGCTAGGCTTTTACAGGTACTAGAACTACAAATGACAAAAAAGCAGTTAGGTAAAAAAAACAAAAAAAATCAGAAATCTGACAGTCAAAGTAGTTTAAACCCCCCCCCCCCCCCCCACAAAAAAAAAAAAAAAAAAAAAAAAAATTAGAGATCCGACAGTCAAAGTAGTTTAAAGTAACACTACTTTTTCTGGTACTCCAGTTTCAACAAAACATATCTTTTTAATTTTAAATTAAGATTCAACAGAACAAAGTTTTGTATTCTAGCCTTTCCTTCAAATCAGTTCCCCAGCATTCCTCTGCCCACTTTTCTGGCGATGGTATAATGATAGAAACGATACTATACACAAGTTCAAAGCAGCGAATCAATTCGAAAAAAAAAAAAAAAAAAAAAAAAAAAAAAGACACGTTCAAGGATTCCTCTGGTTCTCTGTCAAATTTTCCTGCACAGCCTTCACAAGATGTTTAATTTCAGTCATTTATATCAATGAATTTTCAAGTCCATAACAAACCCATGCAAACAACTGATTTGAGTTCAAGTTTTCATTTTACCTGCAAAAGCTCGGACATTCTACCAATTCTGTGATTCTCCAAAGAAATAGGTACAGGTCCAGATTGATTACGAACACAAGAATGTATAGTTCGGATGGGCTCTACGAAGAGAGTTTCATCACTGTCAGCTTCCCCAGAAAGCCCAGAATCTTCCACTGATGATTTACCTACTGCCATACTATTCTCAATGCGTGTTTCAGAGGATTGTGAAACACCAGTTGGATTCATTGCCTTGACTTCTTCCCCATTTTGGCTGGTCTGAGGTTGCAAATATGGCACTTGGGTTGTAACAGTTTGCACCGGTTTGTGTTTTGAGTCCGCCATGTGACCAGCTTGGGATGGAACCGAGGGCACTTGGTTGACAGGTGGCAATCCATTTGATACGCTGACAGGCTGAAGTACAACAGGCACCATGGTGCCTCTTGAGCCCATAGATGGGGTAGCATAGGCTGACACTGGTAACACATGTTTGCCTTTCGAAGCTGCCAGATCAGCAATTTGAGGATCATGTGTGTGCACTTGATTTGCAGTGGGTGATCCATTCAACAAATTACCAGTTTCAATTCTGCGAAGTTTTCCATGCTTCTCTTTCCTCTCTCTGGATCGAGGGCGATGACCATGTACACGACTTTGGTTTTGATTTTCCATTGGGAACACATTCCTTCGAATCATTTGAACATGTGGGGCCACATCATTTTCTGTTGAGATAGGAACAAAATGTCCTGGCTTGAAAACAACACCTCTGAGACTGGTGTTTGAGTTGCCAATCTTGACAGCGAGCAAATAACCGGCGTCGAATGCTTCCTCAACTACGCCTGTAACAGACTGACCCACAATGCTTTCATTTGAAACTTCAATGGCATCTACTTGACGGGGATGGTTTCCGTTAAACACTCCAAATCCAGGAGGCAATGGAGGAGCTTCCCTACGATTTAGGGTGTGATCCTTACGCGGGCGACCTCGTTTTCGTTTCATAGGCATGTTCGGTGGAGCATCGTAATTTTTCACTTGGTTGACTTGGTTCATCTTTAGGAATTATCGAAAAACTCAAATTCCTATTGCAAAACTTGCTATACTGAACTTCGCTGTAGACAAAAAAGTACAATTATTGTCAAGTACATAGAAGCAAAGTAATATGAAATATGATTGCATTAAACAAACCCATAAGCTAAAGCCTAATCATTGCATCCTCTCAGTCATAGTTTTCAAATTGCATGAAATAACCCCAATTTCTGGACAAAACTTCACCCTGAAGCACATATCAAAATATCCAAGGCATGTACAAACATTGGAAATCGCTGTACCATTTTTGAGGGATAAAGATAGATCCACATTGTCCATATGATTGTAAGCTAAGATGCACAAGCATGGACATGGACAAGGCAACTTTGAAAAAAATACGATAAACACAGTGGGATACAAATAAAAAAAAAAAAGGTTACATTTTTATTTGTTATGTATATGAATATAAATTTCGGGCATAAAGATATGAGAAGTATCTATATGTAGTTGTATTTTTATTTTATGCTTTATGTTTTGTTCATTTTCCCGCTTTGTTTTCATATATTTTTCTTTGACCCTAAACCAACTTTTTAAAATTATATAATAAAAAAAACACGACAAAGGTATCATGAGACTTGTCCAGACCCTCATGTCCATGAAGGTCCCAATGTGTCTTGCAAAAATAATAATAACAATTGGAAAAATTGGCATGCCAAGTGACGTGTTTAACATGTTGATATGCATGTTTGCGCAGTGTTGGTGTCCGACAAGTGTATGCAGACACGGCCCTCATTTTGCAATGTCTATGCCTCTTAGATTATAAAACCTAGTAGAGAGAAGCTTTCATTTTTTTTTATTTTTTATTTTTTATTGGCAAAAGTCAATGCCCCCATTCCACTCTTAAGAGTGGAACCCAAGACCTCTCAGATTTGGTGGCTAAAGGGTTTACCCAACTAGGCTAGAGTCCCGTGGTTAAAAGCTTCTTTCATGAACTCTAGATTGAACAACCAGCCATTTAAGATGCATCTACAAATACTTTGTGAAAGAAAGGCTAGATAAACTAATAAACTATTAGCCATATAAGAAAATTTTGGGGTGCTGACGGGTTGCGGGTCAGGTCGGGTCGGGTTGCATGTCGTCTGCTACCAGACCGAATGGGATTGGGTTGAGAAAATCCCATCCACAACTGACCACCCATGGTTTTCGAAATCGATCAAGTGGGTTGAGCGGATTGGCAGTGGCCTATTGGGCCTTATTTTGGGGGGGGCCTTTTGGGGCTTAATTTCTCAATTATTTTCCTTTCTGGTTTGGACTTTTTTTGGTTAAAAAAACAGGGGCTGACGTTGGGGAATTGTCAGACCCACATCCGCCCGTTCTTTGCATCGAAACCGCCCATTTGAGCTCGGGTTAGGTCAGGTTGGGTGGGTTGGGCAGGTCAGCTAGATGTTTGCCCAGTCCTAAGAAAAATATAGCAAAAATAAAAAATAAAAAGAAAAAAATCATCCAACATATTTACAAAATAACAAAAACATTATCACATAAATGTTTTCATATCATTTGGCACCCAATCAAGCCTTTTTGTTTTTTTTATCCGACAGAACAGGATTTTACATATTACATTTCCAAAAAAAAAAATCAACAGAAATACCAGACCTTCTAAAGTATCATAACAACATGCAAAAACTAAAACTAAAAATTTAAAAAAGTTAAAAAAACAGAAGAAGAAAGAAAGAAAGAAAAAATGAGTTATATATCTGGAAAAAAGAAAGAAAGAAAGAAAGAAAGAAAGAAAGAAACTAAACCATATGATAAGTGAAAACAGTTAGAAATTGCGTACAAGAGCAAAAAGAGAACACAAAAATCAGCTCAAAGGGACCCGAACTTGTGTGCAGTGATTGGATTCAACAAGGACATGTGTTTATATATGTAAATGTATATACAAATAGAGAGAGAGAGATTTGAAGCTAGGGTTTGAGAAAGATCGTACCTTTGGGGGAGAGTTAAGTGGTTTTGGGGCTCAATTAAGAGAAATTGAAGATTAATGTTGTGTTGTGTTGAGTTGAGTGGGAGCAATCTGAAAACCCTAGAGAAATTTATTACTATTGCCTTGTTTAGAGAGAGAGAGAGAGAGAGAATAAATGAGGGAGTCAAAATCGAAACGGTTCGGTTCGATTCTGAGTAGAGAGAGTCACATACGGGCACGGGGCGGAGAGAACGAGGTGAGATCCGGACTCCGAAGTGGTGGGTGGGTGCGTTTTTTTTAGTGAGGGTCACAATTTGTTAGCTTTTTTTTTAAAGGGAGCTTTTTCGATAAATCCATTTTCTAAGAGTTTTATTCTATCCAACCCATATTCTTTTTGACTATTCCATTAGGTCCAATTTGAGATAAGAAGACCAAAATACCATTTTCATCTACTTATGTTCCATTTAGTTCACATTATTTTCTTATGTTTCAATAAGTCTTATGGGTGACATAATTACCAAAATACCCTTAATGTGAATGTTCACACTGTCAATATAAATGTTTATATCATCGATGTGTAGGGGCCCGGCTCATGTCGATCCTCGTGGATGCTCGGAAAAATTCGAGTCGGGCCGGGCCGGCCCACAAGCCAAAAAAATAGGCCCGACCTTGCCCGTTGATAATATGAATATTCACATTGACAAGTTAACATTCACATTGATAGGAGTGTAAAATTGGCCTGCAGCCTGTGGGCGGCCCGAAACCAGCCCGTCGCCCGAGGCGGGCCCGGGTCGGCCCGTTCACAATATGAATATTCACATTGACATATTAACATTAACATTAACATTGACAAGAGTGTAAAATTGGCCCATGACCCGTGGGCAGCCCGAAGCCCGGGCTCGGGTTGGGGCAGGCCCGGCCCAGTCCGTTAACAATGTGAATATTCACATTGACGGGGGCCAATTTTACACTCCTATTAATGTGAATTTTAACATGTCAATGTGAATATTCACATTGTCAACGGGCCGGGCCCGCCCTGGCTCGCGGGCGGGTTTCGAGCCGCCCACGGGTCAATTTACATTCCTACAAATATGAATTTTCATATCATTAAATTGCTAATCGTTGAAAAAATATTTATAAGGGTATCAAAATTAAATATAAGGGCATAAGTGTCCAATAAAATAGTGTAAATCAAGAAAATGGACTTTATGGAATAAAAATATACATACATGGGACTAAATGGGTTAAAAAATTCCTTCATGGACTTCTTGGGTTAAAACACTTCTAAATTGGACTTATCAATAAAAATCCCTTTTTTAAATTATAAAATATTAAGTATTGTTATATTTATATATATTTTATAAAAAATGATTTAAAAAAATGTTTCATACACGTTTTTTAAAAGGGATTTTTGGTGAAAAGTCCCTTCTATGGGGGCTTTTTTGTGTGAAGCCCACCAAATAAAATAATAGTTTCAAAAGTCCCTCAAATAAAAAAATATGATAAAAATGCTGAAATGCCCTTCCATATAATCCAAAACCCTCGTTGAACCATTTCTCTTCCCTTTCTATCTCTATATTATTGGTATCCTCTCGCTTCCCTTTATTTTCTCTCTTTTTAAGCCCTAAACCCTTTTGATCTCCATTTTCGATCCACCTCACAAAATCGAAATCTTGAAATCGTCTATTGAAATCCATCACCATCTCAGATTTGATGCCTATGAACTCATGTTTGAGATCAATAGTTTCATATTTGAGATAAAATGACCTCATATATGTCCAAAAAAATGATAAATTAATATATTACAATAAAAAATTGAGAGTTTTTTATTTGTTTGTTCATAGATTTAAAGTAAAATTCGACTATAATTCATTTATCTAATATGTACTCTGTTTTTGGAACAGTAAAATTTTACTCTGGTTAATGAAAAATAAAGTGTATTCTCTTATGCATAGACAAACATTCAACAACACAGTAAAATTTTACTTTAAGATTCAGAGTAAATTTTATTCTGAAATACAGTAAAATTTACTAAAAAACAAATCAAAAACTGCATAGATAAACATTCAACAATACAGTAAAATTTTACTTGAAGATTCAGAGTAAATTTTACTTTGAAGATTCAAAGTAAATTTTACCAGAAAACAAATCAGAAACTGCATAGATGAATATTCAACAGCACAGTAAAATTTTACTTTCAATTCAAAGTAAATTTTACTCTGAAATGCAGTAAAATTTTACTCTGAAATAAAGTAAAATTTTACTTGCATGTTAAGAAAATATAACAGATAATACCAGAGTAAAATTTTACTCTCATTTTATGAAACAAAAACAGAGCACAAACCAGAGTAAAAGTTTACTCTCATTCTGTCAAACAAAAACAGAGCACAAACCAGAGTAAAATTTTACTTTCATCATGTCAAACAAAAATAGAGCACACACCTGATTGAACTCAGCAAATCAATAAAAACAAATCAAAAATAACAACAGATTTATACAGCTTTGCAACGTAATCTCTCATTTAATTGAGAGCGTTGATCTTGGATGGCGAGATCGTGTATTGTTAACCAAGGGTGAGATCGTCGGCGGTGAGATCTTTAGACTTTGAGATCGTTTTCATGGATTTCGCAGATCATCTTCAAAATCGTTTTATGCATGAGCTGAGATTGCTTAAATATATGATATATATATATATATATAAGGGCAATATGGTAAAAAAGAAAAAACAAATTATAGAATGTCCTTACTGAGTTGGACTTCTCTTACTCAGGTACTTTTTGAAGGAGAATTCATTGAGTTGTTCTTTATCTTAAAAAAATGTTCAAAAAAAAAGGTCTTACCAAAAATCCCTTTTTAAAAATAAGTGAGAGGGGTGATCAACAAGAGTTGTTAGTTAGATGATTGTCAAGATGACAGTCGAAAGTGATTATTAACCAATGAATGTGCTAACTTGAAATGATTAATGATGATCGGAAGTATTACCAATCACGTGAGGTGATGGTCGAAAGAGATTATCAGTGGCGGTGGTCGAACATGGTGATAAGTTGTAGAGGATGGTGATTGAAGGAATCAAGAGAGAGAAACGAATAATTTTTCTAGTTTTTATTATAAACATGTGAAATCAATTTTTTTTTTTGGGTGTGATTATAATAATTTTGTAAATTATTTACATTTTTTTAAAAAAATAATTTTAATTTTTTATTATAAATATAAACATTACCAAACTTCCATGTTTATGTATGTTTCTTATAAAAATTAAAACAAAATATATTATTGGTACACATTTTTGAAAATTAAGTTAAAGATTGACCGGTGAGAGATGATGGTCAAAGGAGTTGATACTTGTAATAGTCGGAGATGGTTGTCGGCAATAACAGTTGGAAAAGACTATCAATAGTGGTGGTCCAAAGAGATTGTTAGGAGGCAGGGAATGGGCGGATGTATGGGTCAATGAAAAAGAAATAAAAGCATATTCTCAAAGCAAGTGAAACACACTTGTTTTTTTTTTTTTTTTTTTTTTTTCCATTATAGTTTTTAGTAAAATTCTGTAAATTTGTTTACATTTTTTTTATTTAAAAACATAAATAGACAACAAAAATTGAGGGGTAAACAAAAAAGAAGATGGTTGGATAAAGGCTCGGCCAATGGTTATAAAACTAGATTTGGATAGAAGAATTTAGAAATTATCCTGTCCTAGAATTTAAAATGATCCTATCTAGCCCAACAAGAAACGTAAGGCAATAGATAAGAGTTCAGAATTGTTAAAGTTCAAAATCTTTTCACTAATAAAGTTAGCATATTGTTAAAGTTGCACATACTTTCTTTTCTATCCATTCCTTTTTCACATAAGTAGCAAGTGCCAATGCATTAATCTGAGATCTCATATGTTCCATATTGAAGGAAAATAATATCTTATCATGCACCTGGTGATATAAAATCAATGAAAAAAAAAACACCCGGGCACCCAAACTATACATTTGATACAATTACTTACTAGAAAAATGATAAGCCAAAGTCGGTTTGAATAGCCATGCTCTCACTAGGGTTGTAGATGACAAGTACATAAGAAACGCTCTTTCTCCAATATCAACTAACCTTCAGACTTAGCAGCTGTCTGCCTTAGTAATGCCATCCTTGAATGAGGCAATAGAGACTTCTTGCTATGAGTAGTGAATTACACATCTTGTTTGAAGTGTTTAGATGAATCCTAGTAGGTGCCCAATATGCATAGTGTACTCAAATTTGTCGATGCCACTGTCGACAAATGGTTGCAGTGGGCTTCAGCTGTTATTTCTTCTTGGCAGCAGTTCTCTTCTTGGCAGCGGTTGTCTTCTTTCCAGCAGTTTTCTTATTTGCAGCGGTTTTCTTATTTGAGGCAGCTTTCTTTCCCGACCTTCTAAACCCAGCTCCAGTTTCCTGTCATCAGCAAATATATATTAACATACAACTGCAAAGATTGGTGATCTCTCACTCCCAATACAGAAGGTTAACTAGGGATTGAAAGGTTTTTACTTGAGCTTCTTTGTTGGGGATCAAGAAAGGAAAGGAATGAGGACATTTTAGGTGCAAGAGACGCCAATTGATAGCCTAGTAATTTTAGGATTTCTTTCTAATTCAACTCTTTCTCGTTTTCCCCTTAATTTCCTAATTTGGTCATGGAATATAGATAATTGAGAAGAATTTCAGAAACCATAGAGTGGTTCTTTGTTTACTGATCCACACCATTCTTGACCTTAAATCATGCTTGTTAACTATTTTCTCAATTGACCAATGAAAAACATGAGATCTATCATTTATTTGGAAGCAAAGATGAATCACAATTCAAGCAACAAACTAGACGAAACTATTTGGAAGCAAAGATGTAATCAATTATCGGTTGATTATTTATTAAAGATAAACCAAGTGATAATTGGTAGATAATCTACATCAAGCTAAAGCACCATCAAACTAAAAAGAAAGGCATGAATGGACATGTGCATGCATGATAATTATTCACAGAAGTAGGTATCAGTAGAAATATAATGATAAGTACCTTCTTGTAGTTTCTGTAAGCATTTTGACCAGTCAACTCTTGCCCATTTTTAGTCACATAAACCTGAAGTATCAAAATGGATCAGTACTAATGTTACATGGATTCGGGTGTAGGTATCGTGTGCGGGTGTATATCTATGGGTTGAATCCATAAAACGTCAAATGTAAGGCTAAGTTGACTCAGCAACAAAGGGTCATTTTTATATTTTTAATTTATTATGTGAAATAAAATCGTATTATATGTAACATATAGCGTCAAAAATGTATTTTATTCATTTTATAACAACTATAGAACAATATATATAATGATAGTGTTATATACAAATATTTAAGAAGTGTTTGACAGAAAGCATCGGATATCCCACACCCTTGTCAAAGTGTCGGGTGTCTGACACGAATATTTGATTTATTTTGATAAATGTAAAATAGATCAGTACCATAAATTGTAAATGGAGAGGCATGCAATTAAAAGTCAAGCACCATCTACAAATGCACAGCAACATAGGAATGATGTGCATAAACTGCTGGAACAAAATTGGAGCCATAGAATTCTTCCTAATTATCAGAACCAAAGTGCGCTAATTTGTGGCACATGGCTCTCAAATAGAGTAGGAAAAATCTTATCTATTGGCAACTATTAGCATGCAACACCATGATCTACATAAATGACATCTTGATTTGTGAAGAACAGACTAGCACTAAAAGATATGGTTTTCTAGGAACGCCAGATCACTAGCCACCATGCAGCGTATTAACATGCTAAAAGGTATAGCTATAACAATTTTAGATCTATGCAAAAAAGATCTTACATACCCCTTGTATGGCCTCTTGTACTCATCAAGAAAGAGAGTGAGTTCAAACTGCAATAATTGCAAATGAAATTTGAATTTACAAAATTTAGAACACATTGAAAGGACTTTTACTTACTCTCCTTCCATCTGGGTCGGTGAACCAATGACCAGCAGATTGATCAACTGCCTGAACCCTTCTTTTCCCAGCAAGTTTTGGAATGCCCACGCTGCTTTTGGGATTCACCCAACTTCCAGAGCCTTCTGGTAACTCTTCAGCATTTGATTTTTTCGAATTCTTTCTTCTCCTTGTTGAGCTTGTCTCGGCATTTGATTTTTTTGAATTCTTTCTTCCCCTTGTTGAGCTTGTCTCAGCATTAGTTTTCTGAGTTGCTTGCTGTCTCGAAGTTTCCCCGTGGTTAAATTGACTCCTAAAAACACAATTTAAGTACATCCCATAAGAAAACATAGATGAAAACTTAACAAAATATTAAAGATGAACTGAATTAAAGCATATTACATGTAATCAATAACTGATGAAATGGGATTCGTATTTCCTCTGTTGTTCGTAGCACCCAAGGGAAAAAAGTAGGGTAGGCAACTCCGGACTAATTTCTGGATCCTTGGATCATCATGGAAAAAATAATTATGAGCAGGTACAGTAGAGTCACCCAACCTGCACTGGTTCTCATCATTGTTGATGACATTACAGTTCTGATAAGAGCCTTTATTGTCACTCATACATTTATCATGCCTCCGATTTGAAACTTCGTTCTTATCCTTCACAGATCTGAAATATTCTGCACAGAGCTCGTCCAGAGCAGGAGTTCGAATGTGGAAGCTCTTCTCTGCATAGAAATCTTTCCATAAATCCTCTGTTTGAGACGTACTCGATGATGCTTTCATTCTCTTCTGTCCACTTGTAGTTGGATATTGACCAGGGTCATATTGTTTCTCCTTCAAAGATGAATATACTTTATTAGCCTCTCTGTTTGCATCTTCACTAACAGAAGGATCATCTGAATCAGAATTGATCAACTGGAACCTTCTAAGGGGACTGACAGTTAACTTTGGAAACATCAATTTATTGGAACTTGTCCCCAAACTTGCAGAGGCTGGGGTATTTGAAGCCTGTTTCCTTTTTGTTGCTTTCGACTGGCTTGTCGATTGTGTGGTGAAAACCCCATGTCCATGCAATGGGAACTTTGAACTGCTACATCCAGAACGGTATTGCGTTGATGAATGCTCATTTGCTGTTAAGAATAAAAAAAATGACAAACAATAATCCAAGAAAAGAGAAATAGGTGGCACAATGTTCTACATGAATCCACATTGGAATTGGTGAGTCACCAAATTATCAAATTTTAAACTTGGAAGTTAAAAACAAGCTCCCAAGCTGCCTAAGGAGGATAGCAAAAATAATTTAAGTACTAGTAAAATTATTCCACCACAGATGTATTAGGATAGAGATTCCAAATTTAGATAGGAACCTTTGAAGAGCATAAATCTCATATCGATTCAACCATCTTGCAATGGTCATCCAACACCAATCAAAAAAACATAGGCTCCGTTTGGTTGTGTTTTGTAAACATAATTCTACACCTACATTTGAATATCATGTTTGGTAGGAGTTTTGGAATCAATTTTCCAAAACTTTGCACAGAACTCGGTCTCAGGTGCACTTTTCGGAATTTTTTTTTGCAAATTTTGCCTAACCGGTCGTCCGGCCGGTTGATCAGAATATTAAATTTATTTATTTATTTATTTTTTGTGCAAATGATATGTTAATTTTTATATAATCGAAAAAAATATTTTTTGAATTTTTTAAAATTTTTTATGTGCTTTAAAATAATTTTGAATTATATGTTTGGTTATGAGTTGTAAATTTTTGTATCAAATATCAAATGCCACATCAACAATTCCCCACTCAAATCAAAACTCTTTTCAAAACTATTTTCAAAACTCTTTACCAAACAAATTTTCCACACTCAAATCATAATTCCAAACCTCACAAACTCAAAATCCAACTCATACTCTCAAATCATAATTACAAAACTCTACCAAACGCAACCATAGTCTTCGAGCAACAAGTAGAACATATCGTAGTCTACTTACTGGGTTTCACCAAAACTGCATGCTTTGCAATGTTCCTGAATATCTATCTAACCACCCAAATTCACGAACATGAATCACGAACATGAATCACAAACACAGTAGTGGTCTTCATCATTTCTCAAGACAAAACACTTAGCATCATAAGGAGGATTCTTTATCTATTGTATAAGTATACCACCTTAGCTCCCTCATTAAAAACTAGAGAACATATCTCATGATAAGAAGAGGCACTTTATCAAGCTATGCAACCAATCACATTAGGGTGCAATGCAAGTGCCCAAGTGATCAGCACCCACCTAGGCACGTGGATGATGCTCATGCAGAAGTTCTCACTCGAAGCACCTTACCATGCTGAGGCGTTTAAAAGACAAACCATTGGCAACACACTAAAAAATCCAAAAGCCAGCTTTTAACCCATTTTAAGTCACATTACCTCTCACATGAAACAGTGGAAAAAGCTAAAAAGCTAGCTTTTAACCATCTTCCCAAAACACCCCAGACAAGCCTTTCAAACCATTATGCCCCCAAAATATCAAAATTAATTAGCTTCTGAATTTTAATATAACCAGGAGATGGAATTTGTTCAATAAGAAATTGAAATAGTACACGTTCCAAAAGATGAGTCCAAGCCAAGATGGTACACGTATGGTCAGCTTGGTTTTTTACATCCCAAACACTCACTAACTACTTATGAATCCAAGAGATTAGATATAAACCTTACAAATAAATGGTAATGTATTTACCAAATTGAAACCCTAGAGATCATGACAATAAATATTGTCTACTTCAGCAGTGCAATATCCCTATCTCAATTTTAATTTTCCGGTTTAATCAATGTGTTCAACTCCTCTAGTAGCTTTCATACACACAATAAAACAAAGGCAGAGGTTGTTTCTTTTGAGGCATTTCAAAATAACAAATGATCCTGCAATAACTCTCTCTTTCGTACATTCGAACCCTTCAATTTTACTACAATAACAACGAGAATTTAAAAGCATACGATCAGTAATCTTGCCAAAACCCGAACTTTCCATTCTCTAACTACCCCAAATACTCGGATCACTATTCTGAAAAGTGTAATAAAAACAACGAAAACCCTAAATTCAATATTTCACTTGTTTTCTTTATGCAAAATTTCCAAGGAACCAAACAAGCTAAAAAGAATATAAATTTATTTTTACCTAAACGATCCTCCTGAGAAGAGAAATCTTCAATCTCATCATCAACATTACAAAACAACTCCACTGACTTTCTCTTCGGAGCCACCGATTTGGAGTCGGATCCAAGCCCACGCCTGAGACGCTTGAGGGTCCCCGGTGGTTCCGAAACAACTGGCTCTCGCTCCACTGTTGGAATCTCGAAATCATCATCGTCTTCGTCTTCGATTAAACGAAAGCTCGGATTGGTTGAACACGGTCGAGCTTGTTCGCTCAATAAAGGGTTTTTCGTAACAGTTGATTGAGGCTCTAAATCAAAATCGTCGTCTTCGATTAAACGAAAGCTCGGATTGCTTGAAGAAGGGTGTTTTGTAACACTGATTTGGGGCTCTGAATCTAAGTCGAAATCGAGCCCTAGAGAGAACGATGGAGCTTCAAAATCGGCCATTCATATGAAGATAGAGAGAAATTGAGAGAGAAAGATTGAATTTGGAGAAATTGAGGGATTTGTAATGAGAGAATTGTAATTTTTGAGTTGAATTTTGGGGTTTTTGCGCCAAAAATGTATTAGAAATATGTGTTGCGCGCTCTGCAATTCTCGCAGCTACTTGTGAAATGGTGACCGAAGGATAAACATTGATAGCCCAATGGGCTACAATAAAGAGATGAAATTGTGAACAAAAAAAAAAAAATAATACTGAAAATTTAGTTACCGTTGGGTAACGTTTACTTTTTCTTTATAAAAATTTTATAAATTAATTTTTGTTTATTTTTAAAAAGATATAAATTTGTTTGAACAAAATATTTAAAAAAATTTAAAAACATAAATAAAAAAATATATTTGTTCAAACTTAAAATATTTATATTTATTTTTTATTATTATGATAATGGAATCATACATATTATAATTAAAAAAAATTGAAAAAAAGATTATTAGCCAATTTTTAATTTTTTGTTTAAAAATCAACGTAAACTCATTTTTTGAGTTTACTTTTTTTTTCCCCTCAAATTTATAAACTGAGACAGTCATTTATAAACCAAAAAAATTATCAAACAAACTTTTATGACAGTTTTTTTACATTTTTATAAATATAAACTGAAAACGAAATAGTTACCCATTTTTTTTTTTGGGTACATCGGAAATAAAACAAAAGATGGACTACATCCTACCACTCTCCTGAGAGAGATGAGCAATATTCGCAACAATTAAGGGGCGGAGTTCTGCAAGGGGTTCGTTTACAATAAGCAAGCTTGCTGGTTGATATTCACTTAACTTGGCCATTGCATCCACACAAATATTAGCTTCCCTTCGAATGTGTTGGGTGGAGCAGTCACAACCTCTCATGATAATACGCGCATCTTCCACAATGTCCCGATAAGGGCATTTTTCTCCCAGATCCTCACTCAATAATTTCATCACTTGCTCCGCATCAGTTTCTATAATCACTTCATTGAATCCTCGTTGAAGTATTATTGTCAGCCCCTTGTAGACTGCCCAAAGTTTCGTTTCTAGACAGGTACATATTTCAAGTCTTCCATAGTATCCACTAATCCATGCTCCAGATTCAACCCGAAATAAACCACCAAAACCTCCACCTCCTCCATGCTTGCGAGTGTTACCATCCATGTTAAGTTTGATTTTTCCTGCATTTGGACAAGACCACACAGAAAGACTTTTAGCTTGAAGTGGTTGAGTAACATCCAAGTGAAAGCTTGAAAGATTTCCTTGGCATAATTTGATATGAGTTTAACACTCTCATGGATATTAGTAGTTTTAGATTCAAAAACCATCTTATTTCGATTTTTCCAAATAGTCCAAAGGGAGATGAGGAATAAATGAGAGTTGTGGTTCTTCCCTTTCATATTTTGGATGATCCAATCTTTCCAAGGTAACAAGAGCCTACTGCAGTACCACTCATTACTATAAACATGGCACCATATCTGGGTAGCTTTGGGACAAAACCAAAGCAAATGTTCAAGATCTTCCACATTAGCACAGTAAGGGCAATTGGGATCAGAAGTAATACCCCTCAGGTTTCTCAGTTTGTTAGTAAGAATTTTTCCATGAAAGACAGCCACAAGAAGCTTTTAAGTTTCTGAGGAAACTTAAGCTTCCAAATCCATCCCCAATCCCTTTCCTGATTATGATGATCAACAATTATAAATTATATGCACTAGATGTGGAGAATCCCCATCAGAGGATTTAATTCATCTGGGAGTGTCTTCTCCAACATTAAGCCTCGGTGGTTGTAGCTTTAAAATAGCTTCAACCATAGGTAAATGGAAGGAATTTTGCCAAGATTTAAGTCCCAATCACCATGAGTATCAAGAAGAGACTTCACAGTAGTATGTTCACAATTTGGAGTTTGATTGGTAGGTGTGTTCAAAACCAATTCAAAAGCCCCAACACCATACCACCAATCTTTCCAAATTCTCACTTTGTTAACGTTACCAAATAGTTACCCATTTCAAATAAATTACATTTTGCCTACTTTATGTTTGGTTTTTTTTAAAATTTTATTTTAGTTCTTAAATTTTTTTTTCTCACTTTAGTCTTTCAATATTTCATATTTTTCTCAATTTATTTTTAAAATTAATTTCTATTCAAAATTATATAAAAAATGTTATGTTAGTTGTTACATGACAAAAAAAAATGCATTTTTATATTAGGGTTTGGATTTGTGCTAGATATGTGAGTTATATATAGGGTGTGTTTGGGAAGAAGATTTGTGGCTAAAATAGCCACAAAAGACAAAATAGGCTATTTTAGCCACAACAAACAAAACATCATATCGAACCAATAATCATTACACTCTTCTCTCACAAAAAAAAATCAAAAAAGTCAAAAAGTCAAAAAGTCCTTCCCAAACCAAGCTTATTAGCTCAGACTAATAGTAAAAAAAAAGCCAAAAAACCAACCTACTTCCCAAACCAACCCATAATATAATATTTTTATATCACGTGGTTGTCAATTTATCATTTTTTGTCTAATTTTGGACATAAATTAATTTTTGGAGTAAATTAAAAAAAAAAAACTTGAAATATGAAGGATCAGAGTGAGAGAAAAAAAAACTTTAAAAGTCAAAGCGAGAAAATGGTCAAACATAAGGGGCAAAAGTATAATTTACTCCATTTATATATATTTGCAGTTGCACCTAGACTGGATGCAGGGATAATTGGACATAATGGTTTTTGATTTGTTGATTTTATTTTTTTGTTCATTAGAGTATCAATCAAAGATAAATGCTCAAAAAAAATAAATTAATGTTGTTGTGAATTTCATTAAAAATAAAAAAATTCATAAATCTGTCAACCATTTCATAATCATCTCAATTGTTTCATACAATTTAAAGTATTATTTGTCAACTATATATTTTAGTCAAAAATTCACTATAAATTGTCACATCTTTCTCTTTATTTTTTTATACATCTTTTTGTAAAAAATTAAAAAATTACTAAATGAGCCTTTACCCAATTGAGGTCTATGTAGCCTTTGTCAGATGATTATCCTAGGACATTTTATTAATAAATATAATAGATGTAAATAAATAAATCTACCTCTTAAATTTTTATTGAAAAAAAAAATGATATTTACATATCAAATAGAATTGATACTATTACATAATATATGAACAGAGTTAGATTAATAATTAGAATGTGCTCAAGTTCAAATTATTTATGTAATCAAATTAACTCCAATCAAATTCAAACGTTTTAAAAATATATATATATATATTAGACACCTAGAGAGAGACAACTCAATTATAAATAACTATTTTTTTGATATCATATCAAATCGAGATTGTGCTCAACCCTATTAGCCATACCGTCTTTTTATTTCTTTTCAAATCAATTATGCACTCAAAATTTTCAAAAAAAATATTGAAAAAATGCTCATGAACAATGTCTTAAAATCTTAGTTTACTGCTTTAGGGACACTAAATACCGTCTTTCAATTATGTTAATGATTCGACACTAAATAATTTTTTGTTTTCAATCAAACGATCCAAATTACAATATGATGACCCACTTTCACTAATGACATTTGTAATCAATTTTGATATTTCATCCGCCAATTCTACAAACTCGTCTCTCCTCACATCCATCAAATCTTTTACCATCTTTTCAAGGATGACTCGATCACAACTATCTTTCATGTCCAACCCAAATTTCCAAACCTCTTCCACAAACCTACTATTGTAAGGTAAGGCAAACAAATCATTGGCACTCCTGCAACAATACTCTCTAAAGTCGAGTTCTACCCAATGTGAGTCAAAAACCTACCAATGGCTCAATGAGTCAAGACCTCTTGTGAGGCCCACCCTACAATGTACCCTCTTTCCTTCGTACCCTCCAAAAGCTTTATTGAAATCTAATCTTCTCCATCGTTGTCGATCACATAATCAGGCTGAACAACCCACAAGAACCGTTTCCCACTATTTATCAAACCATGCCAAAACTCCATTTGTCACCGTTGTAATGCTTCCAAAACTTACATATATCACAGATTTGAACAGTTGCGCATCGAGCCAATTCATGCAACTCTTATCTTCTTCCCATAAACTGTTTGAAGAGATCAGTGTTGTCGTGCCTGTGAATGTGAATCTGTTGTTCATATGTGCATGAGTGATCCGATGGTGTATATGTTTGGACATTGAGATCGGATTTGAGAAAGTATAGGCTCTTCTAACTCTTCAAAAATGTTGAATATCAGAGCTTGTGCTCGAGTGGTTTGTTGGGTTATATGTAAAAGCATTTGGAAGTTTCTGTCATTCATGCCTGGAATGCTTGTTATGGGCACATCCAAATTGTTTCCTACAGACGGTTTGTATAATTAAGTAGAAAAATTTCATCTATAAAATGGAAAAATCAAAATCCGAACTGTTTCAATTACAGGAAGGATAAGAAAAAGTCTGAGGAACACTAAGGTTAAGTTTGGGAAGACTAAATAAGTGTACTTTTTGACTTTTTATGAAATATGGGTTGGGTTTGAAGTGATGTGTTAGAGAGGTGATGTGACTTAAATAAGATGATGTGATTTAAATAGGATAGTAACTTTTTTACTTGTGCTCGAGTGGTTTGTTGGGTTATATGTAAAAGCATTTGGAAGTCTCTGTCATTCATGCCTGGAATGCTTGTTATGGGCACATCCAAATTGTTTCCTACAGACGGTTTGTATAATTAAGTACAAAAATTTCATCTATAAAATGGAAAAATCAAAATCCAAACTGTTTCAATTACAGGAAGGATAAGAAAAAGTCTGAGGAACACTAAAACTGAGTACAAAACCAGACAATCTTTTTAGGTAAGGTGAATTTCATTTTTTTATGTGTCTGACGCCTATGTGACATAGAGCTGTTTGGTATTAGGAAATAGAAGTCAAAAGCACTACTTTCCTAATTTTCAAAAATTATTTTTTTTCAAATAATGCTATACATAATCTCATTTTCTCACTATCAGACACAAAATAATGAGGCTCACATCAATAAATTCACATAAAACCCATTCATTTGTGTTTATGAGTGGAGGTACCACTCGGGCGGGTTTGATCGGATTGGGCGGTTATCCACGTCCGGCCCAAGTTGTACTAAGACTTGCTCAGATCCTAATTGTAACTCAAGGTTGTATATCCAAGACTG